TCCCCTGGAACTGGAGCTGTAGGTGGTTGGTAGTGACCATTTGGGTCCTGGGAGCTGAACCCAGATCTTCTGCAAGAGCATCCAGTGCTCTTAACCACCTAGCCATCTCTTCAGACCTTTATTTATTCATTTTGAGACAGGTTCTCACTGCTACTCAGCCTTGTCTTGAACTCATAAGCTCAAGGGGTTCTGCCACTTCAGGATCCCAGGTAGCTGAGACTGCAGGCCACCATGCCCTGCTTTTTGCTTTCATTTCATTTACTTTTTTTTTTTTTTTTTTTTGGTAAAATATTATTGTTTTGGATAAAATTATTCTGAGTTAAACAAATTCTTTGTTGCCTTAACCATATGTAAATGAGTTACTTTTCTCATAATGCCTATCATTTAGTAAACACCCTGGATTTCGGATGCTGTGCTTTTCATGCATTATCCTACTTATTTATCAGTAATAATTCATTTGCAAGTGAGTAAACTGAGTTTCATGAAAAGTGGGTAATTTTAAGTTTAGATTCATCCCTGAATGCAAAACCCTAATCTCGATTAACACATTGTTAATACACCAACTATTAATTTGAGGGTTTGACCACTGTCATCATTTAAAAATCACAACTGCTCCCAGTTTAAGATCTCTTCCTTAAGATCTGATGTAAGGAGAGAAATGTTTTGACTTTTCATCAGAAAATAAGTCATGATAATTCAAAGAGAGGTGAACTCACTAGGGTCCACTGAACTTCTGCTTCAGTGCTTCAACAGATGCTTTGCCAAGTCTGTGAGCATCTTTCAAATGTGAACAGCCCAAGTAGTCAAGGATTTGTCACTGCCTTTTAACAGTCTCTAGACCTGAAGTGGAATTATTATTGTATAGGACTGACTGCTATTGTCAGCTTTGCTTAGATGATGTCACTTTGATTGTTCTCAATAGGGTAGCAACTGGGATAAACCTCTCCTTGGCATATTATAGTGGTAGCCATGAGAGAACTCTTGAGAGAACTTGGCCCTCTCACCTTTTTTTAAATATTTTTATTATTTCTTTGAGAATTTTATATAGTATATTTTGATCATAGTCATCCCCTACTCCTTCTGTAAACTCTTCCCAGATCCACCCCCATCTCCTTAATCCTCACCTTTTTTTCTAAGAATATTTGTATTATTCCAAAGAGAGGCAACTTTTAACTAATTTTTTTCAGAAATAACTTGAAGCAGGTTACATAAAAATATATATACAATGAAGTTTAAGGGTAGAAAAATAGGGATAAGAAATCAAAGACTAAAGCCAGGTGTGGTGACACATGTACTTGGGAGGCAGAGCCCGGCAATCTCTGTGAGCTCGAGGCCAGCCCGGTCCACCCAGCAAGCTCCAGACCAGCTGGGGTCATAGGGAGACCCTGTCCCAAAAAGACCATTTAAAAAAAAAAAAATCAAAGACCAAAGGATTTGCCAACATGGGGTCAAATTTGGAAGAATAATGAAGGTTTCCATTAGCTCTGTTCTTTTTCTTTTTTTTTTTGATATCCTAACTAATTTATTGGACTTGCTAACATAACAGAGCCTACAGTGGGGGTTTATATTTATAGAAGGTGCCCCCCATTTACGGCTGCACTGGAAATGCCACACTCAAATATAGATCCTGTGACTTCCTGACAACCACACAAAATGTTGAGAGAGGTGCCACCTGACTTCCCGGCTTATATATCCTTAACCCCTCCCCCACATACAACTGAGACTGACTGATTGGGTAGGAGGGGTAACTGACTCCCCCCCTCAATTCCTTAATGCGCATGGGAAGGAGGTGTGACTATAGCTTGCCAGCATAGTGGTCAAAGGACACTTCCAGATAACACTCTATCCTCCGCCAACCTCTTCCACAGAAGTCCCTGAGTGTTGGAGGGGTGGTAGTTGTGGGATGATCTTCCCATTGTGGCAAGGCACTGAACTTTTGGGTCTCTGCATCATCAGTTTTCCATGGGCTATTGGCCCATTTCAGTGGGATTCCATCTACTGTAAAAACACAAACAGCAAGATGCAAGAACACCTAAACAGTGGCTGCTGTAATAACTTAACCTATGTGTGTAAACACAAATTCTTGGACAGTACTCTACCAGGTGTATCACATCCATCTAATGAAACAATTGCAGTGACTTCCCCACTGGGGCCTCTATCCTCCCCTGCCATAGGGGGTTGGCCTGGTCTGCAGTACCAGATATGTGTTCCACTCCTAGGAGCAGGCATTATATCCAATCAAAAATTTGCTGATTATACATATACTAGATACTCCACTATTTCAGCAGTAGGAACATCTTGTTTGGTATGTTGATGGTACAACATGTGGAGTCCATTGTTGAGCAGAATCTTTTAAAGTCAGCCATCTCAAGCACCTGATTCTTCCATATATGGATTTGTTTTGTCATGAACACATACCTATATATTTCAGAAAAACTGATAGATGATATTCCTGATTATCTCTGGTGCAGGTTCTACCATGTTCCTTCATCCATGTCACCACTTTGTAATAGAAGATATGCTGAGCAGAGAATAAGGAAGGCTCAGGGAATGTTGTTTTCATTCCCCTGAGCCTATTCTGTGTGTGTGTGTTGTACTTAGTTATGTGAGTGTGTGCAAGTGCATGTGTGCATATATAGGGTGTCTTCCACCATTGCTTTCTACCTTATTTTTTGAGACAGGGTCTGACTAAGCTCCAGGGACACATCTGTCTCCGTGCTCCCACCACCACCTTCAGCATTGGGATTTACAGATGTGGGTGCACCAGATTTTATGTGGGTGTTAGAGATCCAAACTTAGAATCTCATGCTGTGTGGCAAGTACTTTACTAAGACATCTCCCCATCCTTGAGCCTCTTACCTTTCATTTCCCCCTTTCCCCCTTTTCTGCAGGAGGGAATAAGCTACAAAAAAAAAACAAAAAAAAAACAAAAAAAAAAAAAAAAAAAAAAAACAAAAAAAAAAAAAACAGGACAAGCTGCCGAGATACCAAGGAATGGAAGGTGCTGGCAAAGGAAATAATGTTTTGGCTTTTCATAGATTTGTTTTCTCTTATTACCCACTTTAAGGGATGTGCTATCCCCTCTGCATTTGAGATATGTGGAAGCCAGTGGCTTGCTTGGTCACAGTAATGATCATTTGTAGTATCTGTGGTTTGAAGCTGAGCTAGAGCCTAACTAACATTGTCATTTTCTGATCTCTGAATAAAGTCAGAATTATTCTATGAGGAGTGCATTCTCTTCTTCCACTTCAAGATTGGCAGCATGGTTAGATGCGAGAAGAAAAAAACCAAAACATGTGGCTCTATCTTATGTCATTGACTTCTTTACATATTCCATATGTAGTGTTTTCACCCATTTATATATATGGTGTTTTTGAGACAGGGTCTCCCTGTAGCCCCAGCTGTCCTGGAACTCACTATGTAGACCAGGCTGGCCTTGAACTCACAGAGATCCACCTGCCTCCCGAGTGCTGTTTATTTATATTTTATCTCAGCTCATGTCATGCCTTTCTTTTTCTCAGATCTCTCTCCAGCACAGATTTTTTTTCTAATCTATTAATCCTCTATCTGTAGAATACCATGAAAGTGGGAAATTAATGTTAAGAAGAAAAGAATAAAAAGGAAACCAAATAGAGAGGCTGTTGGCTACTTATAAAGCCCTGCAGAAATCTTCAGACATGCTTGTACATCTTTAAAGCATTTACTTTGGGCCTACTCTGGCAGACCACCATTAGGTGCTATATCAAGCCATTTTACAGATTGCTAGTCTTTCTATGCATTTCATCTATTTCAGTAAATTCCACCTCTTTCACAAAGCTTTGCCTCTTTGATATAAGTTGCTTTTTTTATTGCATAGTCCAATAAATTGTTAATTATAGAGGCAACCTTCCTGTTTGCATTCTGCTCATGAAGAAGACCATGTTCTCTTGCTGCCATTTGATATATGAGCTTGCACTATCCAGTGTAAATCTTGTCAGAGTAGATAAATGGAAAGAATGGCTTGAATCCTGTCACCTTGTGTCTCTTCATTACACTTTCTAGTCTGGGGCTCTGATTTGTTTTTAAGCGTAGCCTGCAGGCTGCTTCTGACTCTATTCATCAAATACAAAAATTCTTAGGTCAGCTGATTTTCCAAAAGCTAAATTTGACTTATTTCAGATACAATATGGATCTGCATAAATTTTATTTCTGTTATAGAAATGTTAGATATGGGGCTGGAGAGATGGCTCAGCTGTTAAGAGCACTGACTACTCTTGCAAAGGACTCGGGTTCGAGTCCCAGCACCCACACGGCAGCTACGAACTATCCTTAACTCCAGTTCCAGGGGAATCCGAAGCCTAGACCTCCACTGCATTGCACAACACAGGTGCACTCACATACATGCAGGCAATACACTCATATACATAAAATAAAAATCATAAATAAAATATTTTTTAAAAAGAAATGTTAGATATATATTGATTGCTCACTACATTCTTCAGATCTTTGTTGAAGATAACCACTCAGTTTTCTCTTCATTGCATCATGTGTCATAAGCCTATTTAATTATTTTATTTTAAATACATGTAAACCCTGTTACTTTAGAAAGCACCATTATCACATTAAAACAATTCATTTTAGCATGTGTTGTGGCACATGCCTGTAAACCCAGCACTGGAGAGGTGGAGGTCAGGAGTTCAAGGCTAGCCTGGGCTACATGAGCCCTTATCTCAAAAAAACTAAAAGGGAAAAAAAAAATCATTTTAACTTTCTTACGTACTTGTTTATTGAATTAGGGGATAATGAGGTTTAATCATTTTTATGCTCTTATAGGGTAATTTCATTAAATATTTATCTCATATTTCTAAAATAATGCACCCACAAATTTTCTAACAGAATTCAGTTAACATCTAATTTGTTGGTTTGGGGATAATTAAGTGTTCTTATATAATCTTATCACATTTTTTTAAAAGTAGCTACAGATTCTTCTCACCATCCTTTGTTTAATATTGTTTTCTTAGGTACATTTTGTATTGGAAGAAAAGGTTCACTGAACAACCCATCACAGACTTTTGCAGTGTGATAAGAATCAATTCCACGGCTCCATTTGGTAAGTGCCTGTTTTAACTACCATCTTTTCCCTATCAGTCAAAATTTCAGAAAAATAATTAAATTTGCTCTTGCTTGCATGATAATTGAAATTAAACCAATGTTTTTATTTTTCCTTACTTGAATAAATCTACATCAGAACTCTGTACCAAATGCTAATGGACACACACACTTTTTTGTATTTATAAGGAGTTGGGACAGAAGTCAGCATTGGGTAGCTCCCTCTATTGCTCTTCACCTTATTTCTTGAGGCAGCGTATTTCACTGACCATGGAGCTCACCATGGCTGGTCCACAAGTCTCAGGGATGTTCTTGTTGTCAACCCACCTCTGTTTCCCAGTGCTGGGGTTATCACACCTGGGATTTTATGTGGGTGTCAAGGATCCAAACTCAGGTCCTTGACAGCAAGCACTTTACTGACTTAGCCATCTCCAGGGCCCCATATGCCCACATTGCTAAAGAAGCAAATCCTCCTGGGGGAAAAATCTATTTTCTCATGTATTTTCCTAATCTCTCAACAGAAGAACAAGACAACTATTTTTTGTTGTGTGATGTTTTACCAGAAGATAGAATTCTTCGAGAAGAACTTCAAAAACACAGACTGGTAAGAGTTGTTTTAACGAATGAATAGTGTTTTAAAAACATATGCAAATATTTTTTTTAGTATTTTATTTATTTTTATTTTATGTGTATGCGTATATTGCCTGCATGTAGGTGAGTGCACCCATGTCGTGCAATGCCTGCGGAGGACAGAAAAGGCTGTTGGATCCCCTGGGACTGGAGTTACAGACAGTTGTTAGCTGCCATATGGGTACTGGGATTCAAACCCTGGTCTTCTGCAAGACCAGTCAGTGTTCTTAACCCCTGAGCCATCTCTCCAGCCCCCCAATTTTTTTTTATTGTACTCTTTTTCTACTTTTAAGGAAACTTTAAAACTTATGCAAGAGACAAGCACACATCTTAATACAGAAAAAAGTACACGTTTGACTGAAAGCTAAAGCATTTCACTAAAAATGAAGAGTGGATTTTTTTTACTTTGGTTCCTGAGTTATCCCTAAAATAACAACAGAGCTTGCACATTTTAGTGCAATTTTAGATGCTTCACACGTGCTAAGGTTCAGTAGTCATGGAAAAATGCCCTCAGCAAAAATTGAATTAACTTTTTTCCTCCTTACTGGAATGTGCTATGCGCTAGCATTTCTTTTATTCTTTTATGAATTACGCACACAGTTTAATCAACAGAGTATCCATTACCATTTTGTTTTAACCATAAGCAAAGCAATTTGAAAACTTCAGTATCTTTATTCTTTTAAAAAAAAGCATATAAACAGTATGAAAATATTTATTTTTATAAACTAGTCACACATTTTAGGGTATTAATTTTGTATAAAAACACTTTGTTTTCGATTGTATGTGATTTAATCCTATTACTTGCAATTGGTATGTTTAACAGTTTCCTATAAGTCTTCCTTGTACCATTAGACCTGATTAGATACATTATGAAAAATGATTGTAAATTTAATTATTTGTGCTATATTCTTGAGACCTAGAAAGAAAATAAATCATATGCCTTAGTCATATAATTTGAGAAAGTCCCTTGAAGCCTATTTTATTTTGTAAACATTCCTAGTGATCATTTTTAAGACTAAAAGGGAGTTGCCCTTTTACTTGGGTATCAATGTCCATGTGGGAAAATGTTTTCCATGTACAATAAATCCAGCAAAGAAGCAGGACCTCCTGAGTTTCTTTATCTCTAACAGTGTCTTCTGTATTCTACAAAACAAGGGTGACTTATTGTCTTATATTATGAATTTCATAATTGTTAATATCCATGAGTTTTCTCCCTTTTGTTGAAGCTCTCTGGTTTCTTTATAAGAACTCAAGCTTTGCTACTTAGTCATTGCTTTTCAGTATGACAAATCTCTACTGTATGTCTACAGATATACTTGGGCCCTTAAAAATAACTACAAAATGTAGATGTCCATTTTTAAAGTACTTCACAATCTGAAGGAGTGATGTTTGATGAAAGTGAGAAAAATGATAGTTTAAAACACAAAATACAAATAAGAATGTAAACTATCTGTGAGGATAGTTCATTGAGTCCCTACTTCACATGATAATTATGCAAAGAAGTACAAGGCATAGCTCGTATAATAAGAGTGTACAGATTTGAGTTTGGAAAGATGGCTCCACACAGTTAAGGGCACTGGCAGCACTTGCAGAGGACCCAGGCTCAGTTCCCAGAACCCACATAGCGGCTAACAACTACCCATAACTCCAGTTCCAGGGGATCTGACATCTTCTTCTGGCCTCCCCAGGCATTGCAATCATGGGTGCACTTACATACATACAAACAAAACACTCATACACACACATTTTTTTGTCTGTTTGTTTGTCTGTCTCCCTGTATCTCACAATAATCCACCTGTCTGCCTCCTGAGTGCTGGGATTAAAGGTATGTGCCACCACACCTGGCACTACACATAATTTTTTTTTTTTAATTTTAAGAGTGTACTGATAAGAAATTCACATGTATTCTTAGTAACAAGTAACATAAAATATCTTACAGGGTTTTGAAGATTAAGAGAGGAAATGCATGTAATACATTCAGAATAATACTTGGCATATAGAAAGCACTCAGTTTTTGCCAGCAACAAAAGTAACCATAACAATTCAGTATCTTAGGGCTGGAGAGATGGCTCAGCAGTTAAGAGCACTGACTGCTCTTGCAGAAGACCTGGGTTCGATTCCCAGCACCCACATGGCAGCTATGAACCATCCGTAACTCCAGTTTCAGGGGAATCCAAAGCCCGCTTCTGACCTCCATGGCATTGCACGACATGGGCGCACTCACATACATGCAGGCAATACACTCATATACATAAAATAAAAATAATATATAAAATATTTTAAAAACAATTGAGTATCTTAACCGCTAGGAAAATGGAGAGTTGTAAAGAGGGAAGAAAAAATGCATTTGGTCTTCCAAGTGTTCAAGGTGTATTTGGGAAACTCGAAGGAATCTAATCTGGCTGAGCTAGGAGCAGTATGAGACAAATAAGAAAGGTAAGATGGAGATAAACTGTAGAAACTTCAGTGCCGGGAACATTGCCTACATAATGCTATTGATCCATTGGTGTGTCCTTATGGCCTCTCAGAATGACATAAAAAGAACATAGTAACTATAGCTGTGTAAAAATCCATTTAAAGCTGTCCAATTCTGAGAAGGAGCAGACAAACTTGGACATACTAAAAGAAGCTAACAATTTCTGGATGCCAGCCATATGCCAGGCCTTGAGGAAGGTCTTTGCTTCATAGCCTATGAGGTTGTAGCCCATTTCCTGCTATATCATGTGGCAGCTAGAGGTTGGTATGACTGGTCCACTGCAGAGACTTGGTAAAAATTATAGGATATCTCTTGTGTATAAAGAGCTGTGTAAGTCAGTAATAAGGATTTCCAAAAAAAAAAAAAAGTAGCCAGGCATGATAGTGCATGCTTTAATCCCAGCACTTGGTAGGTAGAGGCAGATGAATCTGTGAGTTCCAGGGCAACTGTCTCACAAAAAAAAAAGTCTAAAACAACATTCAACAAAATAACAATATTCAAGTATGTTAGGTACTCCGCTTCCTCAGCCAGGAATGCCAGCCCTACCTCTCCTCCTTATGTATGTATCTCTCACGGCATTATTCAAGTGCCATACTTTCTAAACATTTTCCTGATGCCACCTGTCAGAATTTATAACCTCTTCTAAGCTCTAGTAATATAGTGTTTTGTCTTTTCAACTATAGTTAGTTGTTTAAAACTCTCTGTTCTTTGCTGCGTCAAGTGCTTCTAAGGGTGAGGGCTATTGGATTCACTTCTGCATCTTCTCTGAGCCTTGCTCATAAAGTGTTTAATTGAATCGTGAAGTGATGATCTGTTATTTCTAAAAAGCCATATAGTCAAATCTCCCTGAATTAAAAGAGAGAGAGAGACAGAGAGACAGAGACAGAGATATAAAAGAGCCAAGGCAGGCCAGACATGTTTAGTCACTGAGTTACATTTTTCACTTAAAGATAAAAAGCAAATCGCTTTTCCTTTTGCCTACAGGAGAAAATATGTGGTATTCAGAAACTCAGTGGCAGGATGGAACTTCACTAAATTGGAAGGTGGGGAGACAGCCAAGAAACTGGTAGAAGGGTTTGGTTTTTTCTTTTAATCACTATTATAAATGACAGCTTGAGACAACATTTATGACAACTATGAATATTTTATGAAAATTTTAACCTGCATAACAGTTTGATCCTCTAGAGGGAAAGTGTGTTTTGCTTTTAATCTTATTTCCTATATATCACCTCCCTCCACAGTAAAATAACAAAACGAAATTGCATGTCTCCCACTGAGATTTTTCTTTCCCATGCCACTTTTCCTTATAAGTTTTAGTGACTTAATAAAGACTAGTAAAGGATAATATTATTGTATATCAGTCACCTCGAAGTAAAATATCAATATATGTTTATAATTTTACATAATTTTTATGTAAAATGCCTAGCTTTATAGCATAATACAAGTTCTGGTACTGCATCTAGAATAAATGTTCCCTAAATCAGCATAAGATGTCATTTCCCTTAAATACAAAATTGTGAATAACAATTCAACAAAAATCAAGGTGCCTTGAATGACCACTGGGTGATTTTAACTTTAATGTTTCATTGAGAAACAAATGGGAATATAGTCTGAAAAATATTAATCTGAATCCTAAATGGTAAACCATTTTGAACTTGTTTATCTAGTACATAAAAGTTACCTGGCAATTTTTTATATGTACATTGACTGTATGAAATTGGTAAGGAAGTGTTGTAATTGCTGTCTTTTTTTTGAGGGCGGGGGGGGGGTCTTCCTGTAGCCCCAGCTGTCCTGGAACTCACTATGTAGACCTATTGCTATCCTTGTGGAAAAACAAGATCGAAGATGTTAGGAGATGTGCATGCAGTCATGGTTATATACTACACTGACTAGGAAAGGAAACAAACTCCTGTTTTCCAACCCCAAACATCATTCCCTTTCCAGTTGTGCCAGTATCCTTTATCAAGTTTGGTCTTCCTTCCCAAGCAAATGTCATATTTTTTAAATGGATATTTGTGGTTTTTAAAAATATTTTTTATTCATTATTTTTATTTTATGTGTATGAGTATATTGCCTGCATGTGTGTAAGTGCACCCATGTCATGCAATGTCCAGGGGTCAGAAGAGGGCGTTGGATTCCCTAGAAGTGGAGTTATGGGCGATTGTTAGCCACCATGTAGATGCTGGAAATTGAACTCAGGTCCTCTGCAAGAGCAGTCAGTGTATTTGTTAGAAAACATAAATGCAAGTATAAAGAAATAATGATGTGTTTTCATTAAGAATTCTTTAAGGAAAATGTTTTCTTATCATTTTAGGTCAGCAGTAGTTAGGAATGTCTTATTCCCTTAGGCCTAAGCTTCTTAAATTATCTTTTAAGATTTGAAGATAGTGTGTTTTCAGAACTTCTCTATCTTTAGAGAAATGTAGGGCTTTGGCTGACCCAGTGCTTATCCAGGGAAGTACTTTCCAGTATCTATCCAGGTAGATAGCACTATGCTG